GCACAACACCGCATTCCTCCAACAATTCCCTTTCCCTCCTGCGAACGTCAACCTGTCCACCCCCCCCCCCCCGCACATTTATCAGATCAGTTAGAGAGCAGTTCTTAGAAGTTACTGATACATCGTGCAGCTACGCGAAGACTTCAAGTTTCTCTCTTTGCCAGCGATCTAATCGACTGTTTCGAAATTTATTGCCAGTGGTTGGTGTGTCAAGGGTAAGCTGTGTGCTGAAAGCCAAATGCCTTCAATCCATATGTTCAGTCGGATACGAGTGTCTCAAGCAATATTGCTGGAATGACTGATATAAATCAAGGGCTGAAGTAGCGCAAACTTCACACTTCGAAACGATAGTGGCTGTTCATTAGGTGTGCAGCTGTTGTGTGTTGATTGTCCGTGTGTATTGACGCATACTCCACCATTTCAACCGTCAGTGCCGCAACTCGCTATAGACAGCTTTGGCCTATTTAGGTGTGTTTCATATACAAAGTTATGTTGACTGAAATCCTTGTGTCATTCATTAAAAATGACAAACATTAAGCTTTGAACACACGACGAACACACGCACTGTCTGTATCTTCCCCTGTACCAGCAAGTTTATTATTATTATTATTATTATTATTTCTTAGGCTGGCTGATAACCTAATGAAAATTTTAACACAAGTCACACTGAGTAAACTACTCGTATAAAACTCAATATATGGCACAAATCATATAATTAGGTTTTTGGATTTTCAAGTAGAAAACATCAGAGATCAAATTTGCAAAAAAACTAATTTATTTTTGCTTTGCAATAACAACACAATACACGGTAAATACACGGATAATAAAAGATGGAAACGCGACGGGAAACGAAGTAATAAAATGCTTCAAAATTCACCCTTTCCAGAAACAGCTGTTGTTGAAACTTGTCAGCAATTAGGCGAATATTAATTTAATGCAAATATGAAACAAAAGCTGCCGTCATTAATATGCACAATCGCGTAGACCAGTGAGAACCTGATAAACATTGATAAAACGAATAGTCGTGCAATTAATACCATATGATCTCTCTGAAGTCAGATCGGAGAGGTAAATATTGTAATAAAGTTGATGAAGAGACAAACGAAAAATATGAACTTAAAACATTTCAAAGAGACATTATGAAATGTGTCATGAGCAAACAGCCAGAAACAAATCCCACAGACCATCTATACATCTATATTTTTTCCATTAGTAAATGCATTTATACGACTATATAGAAACTGACGATTTAAAAAAAACATCTTGCCATTCCCCTACGGAATTCAAAGATCGCTTCCATTATAATCTGCATCCAGACATAAGGTCCAGAAGTATAAATTGACATGCACAAATTATATACTCGCCGAGGGAATAAAAATTGCTAAAATAAATGTTAAATATCTTAGGTATCAGGGCGTCCCTTATTATCCGTCATCCTGCTACCATTCAGAGAAAAAGAAGTCCACCTCAAGGAGTCGTCATAAAGCAGCGTTGGGAGAGTAATGCAGAGTGGAAATTTAATTGAGCCGAGGCAGCGCACTAAGCAGACGTACATTAAAATCGGATCGAAGTGTTCATGGGAATGACCATAAATTCTTGGAATTTTTATTACACGCCTTCAAAGACAGATTCCTCTGTAATGAAGAGGTGTTCAGAAATAATGGGGTCGCGTGTATACTGTGTAACCGCGTTCATGTTTCTGTCTCGCTCTAACACAGGGTAGGCTTTTAATATTGGGAGACACCATGTGCTGCCATGTGAATGTAGTGACCACGTATAATTTCAAGCAGTACTTTAGTAATCGGAGACTATCTATTTCTACGGAGACTTAGGCTACTTCTTTGGTCCTCATGGTAAATTTTTAAAAAGTACAATCCATCGTATTTTGAAAAGTAAATTCAAACTTTTCAAGCTACTCATACTTAAAAGATCGATTCACTTTTGAACACTGACAAATTGCATACTTCTTACACATATTTCACTCACCCTCCTTCCAAAATGGTCAAGTTGTTTAGCTTGAAGTCGTTGGTGGCGCACTGTCTAACGCTTGTCGCACTCAAAGGAGGATGGTGCAATGGGAGCAGTGGCGCCAGTGAACCGTTGAGGAGTGGGAAGTTATGCCTCTGCACTGCCGGAAGCTGGAGACGAAGCTCGCCCCGTGTGCGTTTTTAAAGCAATACTGTGTCATGCTTCATTAAAATCGTGTTTCGCTCCGCCAATGCATTGCAGTCATTTTGACACGAGAAAATCGGACATATTCCTACCGCTGCACGCAAAAACGTCAATTTTTCAAAGACAAGCGTCGACTGTCTCAGGCGCAGTGACAAGCTTAATTAGGAATGGGGACATTATGAATATACAAACAGCACCCCATTTTGTCTGATTGAATTGAAAGTTCGCTCTCTTTTTGGATGTTTCTGTTTCAAGATTTGTCATTGGATACATATAT